ACACACAGAGACACACACAGAGACACACACACACAGACACACACACACACACACACACAGAGACACACACTGACAGCTGTCCTCACTCCAACATTGTTTCTTCGTCCCTTTGCTGTCACTCAGCCTCTCTGCTGCGCTGCAGCGCCGCCTGCTGGAGGAACCGGGCGCCTCGCCGCTGATCAGAGGAAACATTAAAACTCTTTGATGTTCATTTCTGTTTCTTATTTTATAAATTAAGTAAATTAGAAAATATTTCTAAATACTTTCATCTTTAATTGAAGGTAATTAATATTTCTAAATATGATTTTCATTATTATAAATTTGCAAAAATTTAAAGTAATTTCAGTTTTACTTTTTAATTCAGTTTTATATTTTTATTCTCATAACACTTTTAAGAAATATTTTATGTAGATCATAATATCTAAAAAAAATTATATATTGTATAAAATTTCAATTAATTATATTTAAATTTTGCATTAATAAATTAAATATATTTAATATATGAAGTAAACTTACATTATTTCCAATGTGTTGGTTTTCCCTCAATATTTTTAAAAATATTTTTGGATGTTTTCTCAATCGGTTCAGGTCAAGTTATAAGTTTTATTTTATTTTTTTACTACTTATGTAAAACTCCAGCACTGTTTTGTCAAACCTTTGGAAAAAACACTATGGACAGTCGGTTTCGTCTCTTTAAATGATTTCGTTGGATCCTTTAGAATATTTTCACTTCCATTTATTTTTGTTTTTTAATTTTCCTTTAATTTTATTTATATTTTTTAGCTAAATTCCCTGTTTTTCCATGTAAACTGTGATTTTCCTGCAGCCTTCCAGCCTGTGGCTGATTTGTCCCTCGTGTCTCCGTGTGTCCAGGTGTCCATCGGGAAAATGTACGAGGCTCAGCGGACGGTGGTGGACGCGCCGTGACGCTTCGACCCGGCCTGTGAAATGCATTGTGGGAGATGTAGGCCTGAGTGAAGCTGGACGTTGTTTCTGCCTGATGTTTCTCATGTTTCCTCTGCAGGAAAAACTCAAACCTTAGTTTGTTTTTCCTGAAACATGAAACATCAGGAGGATCAGAGTGGCTGGATGAAAACATGTGAAACTAATTGAAGCTGATTCACGCTTAGTTTTTATCGAGTCCGTCCGGCAGGAGACGAGGACAGCGCTCAACTGTCAGCCATTTTCCTCTATGACGATAACACTGTTTGTTTTTACAGTGCAGGACTTTAGGTTTCATCTCTCAATTGAATCAAAATGCTAATTTTTTTAGTCTAAAATAATCTGCAGCCTCCTCCGCCTTCACATTAAGCCCCGCCCCCAGAGGAGTCACCATGGCAACGGTTCATGTAGCAGATCGTTGTATTGGGATCGGTTCTGGTCAATCAGATCGTCTCTGAGCTTCTTCCTGTTTCAGTCGTGAAATTAAAAGTTTCTCTAATAACGGTTTAAGTTTCTGTTTCTTTATTCGGTCGGTTTCGTCTCTTTTCTGACTAGTTTTTATGTCATTTATTTTTATTTTCTCAGTTTTAAGTTTTTTTTAATGTTGGCAGCTCTGAGTCCAAAAGCCTGAAGCCATGAAGGGAACCGGGTCGGTCCGGTCCGTGTTCACCGAAGGATCAATTTAAACCTGAAACCTGTGAAACGTCTCTGAGCAGAAACGGTCAGTAGACCTTCATCTTCATCAGTCCAACCAGGACAGACTGGGTCTAAACTGGTACCGAGAAACAGCTGCCTGTTGGCCAAAGACCAGGAGACGCTCCAACTGGTTCCCTCTGCGATGCATTCAGGGACATCTGGGAACCAGAGCTCCTCTGCGATGCATTCAGGGACATCTGGGAACCAGAGGTCCTCTGCGATGCATTCAGGGACATCTGGGAACCAGAGCTCCTCTGCGACAGATGCACACTGTTGCTAATGTGCTAGTAGTGAAGCTAATGTTTATTTAGCGCTTAGCTAGCTGAAAACATTTAGCTTCACCTCAGTTAATTCTTCTGAATAAATTCTTAAACAATAAATTTTTTAGGCTGTTTTATAAATTTCAGTTAAATTAACGTGTTGAAGTTTTGTTTATCGACTGATCAAATAAGTTCGCTGTTTCTGTTATGCTCTTATTTTGAAGTCTGTTTCCTCTGCTCGCTTCTCTTGTTTTGTTTTAAATAAACTTTATTGAGAAAGTTTCTCAACGAGGAGTCCAGATGAATGCGACACTTCCAGGAGCGACCACCAGGCGGTGCTGGTGGTTTCTTCTTCTCCTGACGCCGCCCAGGTGTTGGGTGGAGCAGGTGAGTGGCCCCTGGGGCCTCCGGCTGCTATTCTTAGATCCGTTTGTTGGTTCAAACACTGATCTTGTTGCTCAACACCTGCTGGACCTTTTGCACATGCTCAGTACAGGACGGACTTTAGACCCGGTTCTGACCCACTTCTGATGAGCCTGCAGGTCTGTTGACCGTTTTTACTCCTTACTGATCCACCTTTTGATCAATATGCTTCCCATGATGCATCACTCTGTGCTGAAACATGAATAAATCAGCTTTTCTTCAGTCGCTGCTTTGGATCATTAGGAACCAGATTCATGTTGGATGTTGGTGAATGTTCATAGAACAGTTTCCATTTATGTTTGAGTCAAAATATTATAAACATAAACTGTCCAGAAACCAGAACTGGATGATGATTGGTTCCCTTACAGCCAGTGATGATGTCAGTTGGTCTGGATGAAGGTGAAGCGTTTGGCCGCATCGGCAGCGACTGGAGCGTCTGACGGAAAACGGTCAGCAGGCAACGAGTCGACTGAGCTGAAGTGGTGGTAGTGAACAGTTAGCGTCACGGATACCTCAGAGAAGCAGGAAGTGGACTACAGTGCAGGGCATTCTGGGTAAATACAACCAAAGCTAACGTGCTAGCCTAGCGCTAGCAGCAGAAATGGCTCCTGGTCTTTAGCCTAAAGAGAAATCCTCCAACCGCTAAAATCCTCCATCTTGTTTCCATCTGGTGAAGAAGGAAGTTGCTCTCAGTGTCTTCAGAGGTTTTTGTGTCGTTTCCTTCAGTGGTTCTTGGTGCAGCGCCCCCACAGGCCAGGAGGGGAACAGGTTGGTTTGACTCAGAACCACAGCAGCTGCAGGTGGAGCAGATGTTCTGGTTCCAGTAGAACCGGTTCGACTGGAGCATCAGGATATCAGAATTAATCTTTTAACATCCTTAATAAAATAAAATCCATCATGAAAGTTGTTTCAGACTTTAATTCTCCTTCAGGATTCGATAAACAGAATGAATGAGTTTTAGTTTCTGATCCTCTGCATGTTTGAGTCTAAAGGAACCAAAACAGCAGCTGGTTTATTTCTAGATCATCGATTCAACCAGAAAGACGCGGGCGGCTTGTTGACGGATCAAACATTGGAGGTCAGGTTTACCAACATGAGGCGCCTCTGGACTTTGGTCTGAGCGTGAAGACAGCTGGACAGACAGTCGGGCTGTAAACACGGCCCAGCTGAGGGAAAGAGACGAATGTTTGTGTTTTTATCCTCTCTGCTCTGCAAAGACCCGATGATCTTCAGGAGAACTTCAGCTGCCTGCTTCCCTCAAACATGAATATGATTTATTTCAGAGGAGAAAACATGGAGGCGAGGCTGAATGTCCTGAAAAAACTCCTGACTGAAGGTTCCTGTGTCTCCTGTCCAACTGAGGAAGACGAGGACATGTCGGGTCATCACGTCTCCATTTCCTGTCCTACCATCACAAACGTAACTCAGCTGAGTTTTGATCAGATGATATTTCAGCTGCAGAATCTGAGAAACATGATAAATATGCAGAAAACTCCTCAGTGACGCTGCCAGGCTCGGTGGAGGATCTGTGGTGCTGAGGGATTATCAACATGCTATTCAACCATTTACTCAGATTTAAACATTATTTGATTTAAATGAACTCACTATTTAATCAAAACACCTGAAGTAATGTTTAATGATGTCAGACTAAAATACATTTTTAAAAACTAAATTAAAATGAATCGAATAAAAAAAATATAAAATACTTACAGTAGAATCTGTGTAAATATATGTTACTAACATTGATGCTTCAAACTCACCAGACATTTTATTATATATATAAAAGACGGTTAAAAGTGTTTCGTTCAGTTCAGTTTATTTTCATATCAGTTCAAACCCATTTTGTTCATAATTTTATAAAAAGCTCTAAAATAATTTCAGTCACATCAGTTCATGATTAGAGACGTTTAGTAAAGTTTCTAATGAATCCCAGCAGCCATCTTTTATTAAAACAGTTCAGATCTGAGCTGCGGTTCTGCAGCATCGCAGTTTGGACCCGACTGGAAGTTTTATTATTTATTATCTGGATCATTTCTTAAAAACACAAAAAAACATTTTGTTTAATAATAAAGTTAAATTCAGTGACAGTTTGATAAAACAGAATCTCACATGTGGGTTTTTATTGGGTCATGCTGTTCTACAGGGTTCGGACCGGAACTGGGTCCAATCAGAACTTTTTTCCTCTTTATGTGAGGAAATAATTAATAAATGATGCGAAGCAGAGAAAACTAGCGGGAGGAGATGTTCTGGTGTTTGGGTCATCTGGGTGGAACCGGCACCGAACTCTGGATCTGGACCCAGAACTTTGTTTGTTTTTCATAATCTGAGGCGGACCGGACCGAACCTCCTCCCGTCCAGCTCTGTGTGCAATATTAAAACAAATATTTGGCTCCAAACTGCGAGCAGCTCCTCCTCCGGCCGAACCGGCGTTTCACAACCCGGACACGGAGCACCGGCAGGAGCCGCTGGGAGGATGGACCAATCAGAGCGGGCCCTGCCGATGACGATGATAAACACTAATGTAACATTCAGAACATGAAATTATACAAATGACATTTTTCACAGTTTTTGGCCATACATAAATTATTTTTAATCATTTTTAATAATGGCTATTTAAAGCTAATCTTGACTCTCAACCTGTTTGTATTTATCTGATAAAACACCAAATTATTTGTAGAAAATAATACTGGTTGGAATTTTGTCATAAAACAAATCTAAAATATTTTAAGGAACAGGGATGAGGACTGCTAGCTAAAAAGTTAGTTCTGCTAACCCCAAAGTGCTAATCAGATATTAGTTCTGCTAACGCTAGGCTCAATAATAAATATTACATTTTAAAATCTAACATTTTAAATGTTAAAATCTAAATTATCATAAGGAACAGGGATGAGCTTCATTAGCTAAAATGGTAGCTATGCTAACCATAAAGCAGTAACCATAAACATAGTTCTGCTAATGCTAGGGCACTACAACAACGCAGTAACAAGTGGAAGCTAATGCTAAAGCGCTAAATTTAACAGCTGGTTAAGTGTTGTATTCTTCTCTGTTCCATTTGTTGTGTAGTTTCCACTTGCAGTTTCTTAACTGCTGCATAAACAATTTTCCACACCTTCAACTAAAAGTTTACAAACATTCCCCTAAATTAGTGCTTTAGATATTATATGGAAAAGTTAATTTAGATGAAGCTAAGTGTGCTAAAAGTTTTCAAAGTTAGCAAAAGCGCTTCCATTGAAATATCCCCCATTGAGAGACTAAACCTCAGGTATCAATCTAATGTTAAAATAACTCAAATGTCATCATGTCCTTAGACTTTAAATTTTAGTTTACAGAACAGTGAAGGAAACAACACTTTAGAATTTAACCAGAAAATTAATTTAGGGGAAGCTAAGTGTGCTAAACATTTTCAGAGTTAGCAAAAAACATTAAAGCACTAAATGGACATCAGCTGCCCGTTAGCGGATTATTGAAAGTGTTCCCTTAACTTTATATTGGGTGTTTAAACTATTAACCCTTGTGCGTCCGAGGACTGAGGCAAAAGATCCAGGTTTTACATGTGTGGGGTCAGTTAGCCCATTTCTACATACAGGCAGATATTAATGTTTTTAGAAGGGAGAGGTTCGAGTTTTTAAGGCGACTGTCTAATAATAATAATAATAATAATAATAATAATAATAATCGATTAGATTTATTATGATCTATCTTTGATCATTAAATTCAAAACTAAAATGTCCAGAGGAACTTGATGGTAGAAGTTCATCTGTTCAGGAATCGGCCGAAATTTAACCTGAAAAACAGATAAAATGTCCAAACATGTTTTCTGATCCAGAAACCAAATAAATCAAATTAAATGATCGATTATCGATGATCGTCCATCTTGGATTTTCAATATGGCCGATAAAGATCAAAGTCTGGATGGAGGAAAGGACCTGTTGGACTTAAATGGTTCCGGGATTCTTCAGGTTTCCTGGTTTTATTTCATCCTGAAAGTCAAACATTTGGATCAGAACCGGTCCGGTTGGATCCCCGGCAGGTCCAGCATCCTGCCTGGAGTCCACTGCTGGACGTGGTAGAGTGGTTCCGGATGGTTCTGATCCGTTCAGAGGGATGGAGAAGCCTCTCCGGCCGGCTCGGGATCCGGGCGGCCCGGCTGGTTCTGGTTCCGGTGCCGGAGCGAGTAGTTCTGGCCCTGGTTGTTGTCCCAGAACTCTCCCTCGTCGCTGCGCAGGAACACGGCGAAGTGCACGGCGGTGCCCGGGTCCATGAAGGGCGGGATGAACACGGTGAAGCCGAACCGGACCGACTCCGACCCGGGCTGCTCCGGCACCGTGACCGGCACCGCCTGCGCGTCCACGTAGGACAGCCAGTCGTTGTAGGTGAGCCGGACCCCGACCTCCCTGACGGCGCAGCCCCGCAGGACCCGCACCTGGCCCCGCAGCTCGAACCGGGTCACGGCCAGCCTCTCCAGGCAGACCCGCAGCTCCCGAACCCGCCGCTCCGCGTCCCGCGGCTCGGGGAAGCAGGCCAGCAGCCGCGGCAGGTCCGGCCCGCCCCGCGGGTCCTGCTGCTGCAGGGGGAAGCTCTGGTACCGGGACAGCACCTTGGGCGGGATCTGCGGGTCCTCCTGGGCGCTGAAGTGCTTGATGCGGGCCAGGCTCAGACCCATCGAGTCCGCGAACTTGACCCGCTTCCTGCCGCCGTCCAGCAGCGCGGCGGGGTACGTGGGCAGCGACCGCGCTCTCCTCCGGTCCCGCATGAACTTCTCCAGGTGCGACGCGTCCACCTCGTCCTCCAGGTCTCCTTCCTCATCCTCCTCATCATCCCGCAGGCCGTTCTGCTGGCCGGCCCGGTTCGGCCCGCACGGCGGAGCTGAGCGGATCATGGGTGCGCTGCGACCTGCGGGGCGGCGGACGTGGCGCCGCTTCTATACGGACCCCCGCCCCCTGCGTGACACACACACACACACACACACACACACACACACACACACACACACACACACACACACCTCAACCTTCACCTGTTTGCGTGCTGCTCAGAGGAGGATTTAAAGGGATTTTATGAGACAAACTCAAAGATTATTAATATTATATCTGAAAAGTGTGGCGTGCCTCTGTGTTCTGCCATCTGAGCTAAGGCTCTCTGCAGCTCCTCCAGAGTTTCCACTGGCTGAATAACTTTCATATATAATCAATAATTTCTCTGCTTTCAGGTGGTTTGGTCTCCAACATGCGGTCCGAGGGCCATTTATGGCCTCCAGAAGGATTTACTGGGTCACAATCGGGAACGGTTCAACTCTGACTGTCCAGAACCGGCAGCAGAACCAGAACCAGAACCAGGTCAGTGTCAGTAAACTATAAACACCTGACAGAGTCAAAACAAGATATAAAAAAATTACAATTAAATATTTTTCTCATTTTAACTTTTGTGAAAAATTTATTTATGTTCTGCCACAAATAAATATTTCGAAGTTTGATCTGAACTTTGAGGTTCTTAGTAACAGTAATAATGATGAATTATTATTGCATAACAATATTTATTATTTTTATTATCAGTAGTTGTTGTATTATAAAGTCAGGGATTATTGTTATAACATTATTATATAATAATGCTATTATTATTATAGAATTATAAAGTTTACTTCTTGTAAACGCATCTTGAATAAATGAATAATAAACGTATTAAATGTAATATTGTTGAATAATCAGCCAATCATCGCAGCAGAAGGTCAAACGTCACTGTTTTCTTGTTACATAACGCGCCGCAGGTGCGTCAATCAGCGCGCAGTAAACAGATACATGACGTCACCACCGCCGACAGGGTGACGTCATGTTCACGTTCAGCTGTGATTTTCTTTAAAGGAAAGAAACATAAAACAAAATGAAACGTTTTATTGGTTTTTGTGTTTCATTATCAGGTTGTGAAATGTTTCCTCCTCTCTTTTGTTCCGCCCAGAAATCTGAATAAAAGTCAATAAAAACATTTTTGTTTAATTTCTGACTGGAAGCAGCAGGTCAGAGGTCAGAGTTAGGTAACAGCAGGTTAACACTCTGTCAACACTGAGAGGAAAACAAACTGCAGCCAGAATGAAGCTGAAAACTTCTGAACAATATGAAACTTTCCTGTTCAGGGAGGAAAAGTTTCATATTTAAAAAACAGTTTTCAGTTTGTTGATTTATTACTGAGCTCTGATCAGTTATTCACGTTCAATAAAAACAGAAAATAAAACTCTCAAACATATTTTACTTAATTTATAAAAGAAAGATTTTAAAAAGGTGTGAAACTAATCATTTATTACAGTAACATAAAAACAAAAGAGATTAACATTTAAAAATCAACCTTTATTTGTAATAAATATCTTGATTTATTATTTTTCTAAAATTTTTCAATATGTTTTCCAGTGATATTTCTGACCTTCCTCATCATCATCGTCACTGACTTTACAGTCTCAGGTTCTGGTTCTGATCCGGTTCCGGTTGGTTCTGACTGTAAATGTGAAAATCTTTTTACTTTCTGAATAACAACCAGCTTCCTGGACGATGTTTCCTTTTCTTTTCGATTTTGAAGAGTTTCTAACTGGACTCCTGTGTCACATCGTATTTATTCCCCCGGGGGACCGGAAGTGGAGGATTACCTGTAATTCTGAGCCGGAACTCCCTGCGTGGATTTACTGATTACAACTTTCAACCACCAGGTGGCAGCATTTATTTATTTTTATTTTGAAAAAAATTGCTCAGCAATTATTTTTAAAAATAATTTTAAACATTGAATTGACATTTATTTTATTTCTCTGTTCAAATAATAAACTAAAATCAGCTCGGTGCTATTGAAATAATTTAAATAATCAGATTTGCATAAAGAGGAATTATTTCACATTCCAAAATAAACTCCCACAGGTTCCTGATTCTTCAGGGATTTATTTCCTGAGCCTCATTTTTTTTTTAAACTTTTGCTGTTTGAATTAAATTTTCTGAATGTTTCTGCTTCTAGATTAAGATGAACCTCAGACTGGGTCAGTTAACAACAATTTCTGCTCAGCCAATTTTTATTTTATCTTGAAAGTCCCGTTAAAAGATAAAATGTCCAATTTGAATCAGTCACCTGAACATCCAGCCACATTACCTTTAATTATACTCAGTTGAGGCCACAGAAAGCCTTCAGAGGACCGTAAGAAGGCTCCCGGACCTCCGTTTGAACCCCCATGTTTACAGCTTTTTCATCAACAGTCGTCCACCTGAAACCAGGATCAAAATCCCAGTTTGTTACTGGTTTTAATGTAATAATAAAATACATCAGCTTTGTTTCTTTGGTCTTCTTTCTGAAATCTTCCCAGCAACAGACCACCGACCTCCAGCTGATTGGTTGATATTTAAGTTCTGGGTTTAATTTTTCAGTTCGGATCTAAACTAAATAAAATCATCAGATTATTCCTGTTACACTGACCGTCCACAGGGTGGCGCTGCAGAGCCGCATCCATCTGATGTCTCCATAACCAGCCATCCCAGAATAACCTGGAGTAAACCGGACCTCTGACCCAGAACAGAGCTGATAGTTTATCAGTACATTTCAGAATAAAAGCCCACAGCAGCAGCGTCTCAATCACTTTATTACATTAGGAAGCAGCTGCACTCATACAGCATCACTGGGTTCCGGTTCCAGTTCTGACAGAACCTGGACACGTCTTATCAGATCCGAAGGTTCTGGAAAACAGCTCAGTCTGAAGGGCTCCACCTGCTGGACGGAGGAGCGATTCTCAGGTTTTAAACACAAATTTAAACTTTTTTTATTCTTTTTCCATAAAAATAAAGTCAGAATTTCATCAAGTTCAGTTTAAGAGTTTTATTAGTGCAGAACGAGTCGGGAAGCCGGTTCTGGAGAGAAACACCGCGGGTCGGGTTTCACCCCTTCAGACTGAGGTCACCAGAACCCAACCGGAACCAACCGGAACCAAATGGATCCAACTGGAACCAACTGGACCCAAATGGAACCAAATGGATCCAACTGGAACCAAATGGATCCAAATGGAACCCACCTAGAGTCAAGCTGTAACCAGATTGGACTGATTGGACCCAACATTAGCTGCTGACCGACAGGAACTCGCTCAATTCAGTTATGAAGATATAAAAACAACAAATTATACATCCAGTGCAAGATCATGAGGTTCTGCTGAACATCTGGATTGGAATGCCCGGCATTAAGGACTTCATTGGGACAGTCATGTGATTGGCTGGTTAAATTCTGGTTAATTCAGAGTTGCCATGGAGACGCAGCATGGAGCCGTGGATCCTAGATCAGACTGAGGGAATGTGATGATGTTGGTCCACAGCAGCCAGTCGTCCGCTCTAGAACCGCCGCTCTACGCTGGCAGGAGCCACGGCACCGAGCGCCGCGGACGATGACATCACAGCGCTCAGACGTCACTCACTGTCGGCGGTGTAGATACGATACATCAGAGTCACGATGCCGGCTGCCAGACTGGGGATGATCAGGTTGGACCACCAGCTGCAAGAGAGCAGCAGGAGTTACTAAACCACCGAGACGGAGACCGACTTTGGCCCTGGAGGCCCCTGGTGCGGAGTTTACCTGGCCTCCTCCTTCGCCGTGGTAACCAGCGTTTCCTGTCCAACACAAACAAGAGAAGTGATGAGAAGGGTCAGAGTTAAACATCATCATCCTCCTCCTGTCTCTGGGGTTTACTGCTCCTCATCCAACCACTGTGGCCTACATTTCCCATGATGCCCCTGGCTCTGCTGACTCACCACAGGCTTGGCGATCTTGTGCCGGTCGTCCTGCAGACGGACAGACAGACAGTTAGTGAGAGGGTGGAGGTGTCATGGTGGACAGTGAGGTTAGCGTCTTGGTGTCGTGTCATGGCGTGTGTCGCCATGGCGACGTCCCCAGACTGACCGGGTGCAGCTCTCCGATCACCATGCTGGCGGCCATCTCTCTGGCGTCGGTGGAATGGCCGACGTCCTCGAAGCTCTCCGTGGCGTTGCCCCCCGCCTGCTCCCTCAGAACCTCCTCGCCTCCGGGATGCTGCGGACACGGACCACACCGTCACGACCGGAACCAGAACCGGACCGCTCTGGTCGTCATGGAAACCCCTGATCAACTGTTCTACAAACTTCCTGGAGAACGTCTGTGATTTTCAGCTTAGTTTCAGTTAATTAGATGAATCATCATTTATAACATTTTATAAATGACAGTTTTAGAGATTTTTCACCAATACGACCCGATATCATGATGAGGAGTGAATTAATGAGGCAGATTTTATGAAACCTGCTCATCATGAAATCTGCCTCATTGTGTCTTTAAGAATTTTAATTCCATTTTGTTTCATTTTTTAATCCTAATAAAAAATTTTACAGCGTAAAATATTCTGTTCACCAGTAAAGTTTAAAGTAATTAAGTTCTTAGAATTTGATCATTATTTTGTACTTTATTAGATGGAGCTCTTCACATGTCTAATATTGCCCAAATATTCAGAATGTAATAAATATGTTAAAGTTGAAAACATGATCAAATAGTTTCAGAAAACCAAATATTGGAGGTTTGATATCTTTATCAGTTTCTATCAGTCTAAACGTTTTGCACCAAAATCTCCAAGTTTAAAATATTTTTCTCCCAAATTAATAAATAATATTTTAAATTTTCTCCTTTATCAGCACAACGATAAAACATTTAATGAAAAAAACAATCTGATGTTTTTCCTCAAACTGTTTCTGTGTTTAGATCAGGATGGTTCTGGTTCTGATTCAGGTTCTGGTTCTCCTGTGTGTATTCTGCTGACTCAGCGTTTCCCTCTTATCTCTCGTCCCTGATCCAGTCTGCCGGATCGCCCTGCCAATGATTTACAGCCTGCAGCAGAGACAACGAACCGGGCCTCATCAGAACCGTGTCCCAGGGAGCCCGGACCGAGCCTCCTGATTGGCTGGCCGGCGCTGACGCTCACCTGGAGGACACGCCCATCGCCTCACCTCTGTGCAGCCTGTCCTCTGACAGACAGCAGGACAAAAGTGCAACCGGGCCGGTTCTGTGTGAAAGTTCCTCCAGGAGCAAATATCAGCTCATAAATGGAGACCACGGAGACATCACTGGACAGCAGAAGAAGAGCTGCTGAACCTCCGGTTGGTTCTGTTGACCTGAACAATTAGCTTCATGCTAAATAAACCTGCAATCCTATTGGCTGACGGGACCAACAGCTGGTTACCATGGAGACGACTGCAGTAAGGGAAATGTTCTTATTTTAAGTCTATTCAGGAGTTGTTTTGACCCTTCTGATTTTAATGATCAATCCTCTGATTGGAGGTTTGAGTCGATCTAAAAACTATTTCATAATAAAATAATGAAGCAAGCGTCCTAACCAAAGTAAAGTTGTGTTTCTACATTCAGACGTGGAAGAAGTCAATCAGATTCTGACATCTGCTGGACCGAGTCGGTCCGCCGACACCGTTACCTTTCACTGTTCATGTACTTCCTGTCAGGCACAGGAAGTACTTCATTTAAAAAAGGTTAACTTTACATTTATTTGTAAATGAATTTTTAGGTAGTTAAATTCAAGTGAATTTTGTTAAAATTTAATAACAGAACATTTGTTATTTTTAAGAGTTAAACTTTGTTTCTCCGATATGATTGGTTAGTTTACAGGTGAAAAAATGAGATTAAATTAAAAACACGAAAAAAGGAAACATGATAAACAGAATAAAGAAAAATATTTGAAATAATGAATTTATAACAGGAAAGAGTTGCAGAAGTTTTAACAATCTACCTTTTTTAATAGTCTTCACCTCTTAGTTAATAGTCTTCATCATGTCTGATAGAAATGTGCTGCTTACGAGTATTTTTTCTCTAATTACAAAAAACAATAAAAATGTGATAACCAAAATCAGTGATTTAATATAAAAGTTGCTCAGATTCATTAAGTTACATTAAATTCTAGAGTAGTTTATAATTGGTGGTGAAAGGGGGCCCGGGGCCCCAGATCCAGAATCTCTGGCTACGGCCCTGGCCGGCTCTCAGATTTAATCAGATTTAATCCAGATAAAATCTAATGTGAAGCAGCAAACCGCGGAAAAGTTTTGGCTGGTGATCGGAACCAGACCGCTGTTCTGGACACCGGAAGCAGAACTTTTCTCACCTCGTCCAGGAACTTGGTGACATCGTAGACCTTGTTGTGGATGATGATCCAGGTGGACTTGAAGGAGTTCTGCTCCTCGATCTCTGACAGCCTGAAGTACTTCACTCCTTCGGGGCTTTTCTCCTGCTTCTCACCCATCTCTGTCGCACCTTGGTCCGTCGGTTCGGAGGCGAAGTGGCGGCAGAACCGGGCGGAGCTACTCGGCCGCACTGAGGTTATGTAATACCGGGGAGAGTCCGACCGTGACTCCGCACGAACACTCCGACATTTACCCCAGAGACACTCCACTCCAACTTCCAGCGCTCACTACTTATCAATGATCAAGGTGAGCTCGCGCTAACACCACTTCCGGTTGGAGTTTTCAAAATAAAGCTGGATGACAAGTCAGTGTAGGCATTAGAACACATATAAAAGTAAAAAAGAAAACTAAAACTAAAATACTTATAGAAAATTGCTGCAATTGTGAAAAATAAAAAAATTAAAATAAAGACATTTGGATTACACAAATAAGTAAATATATAGTTACATTAAGTTAAAAAAATAACATTGTACAGGCAATAACACTAACAAAAATAACATGTAACTGAACTTATAAACTTAAATTAGTGTTTTAAGCAAACAGCTAAATACATTTCAATCTGGAAAGACTCAGACGGAGAAAAAGGAACAATTAAA